CTCGGCCTCGCGCTGCTGGTTGTCGTGGCCACGCTCGTGTGCGCACTGCTCTTCATGCTGTTTGGTGAGTCCAAAACCCCAGGTCCAGGTTCAGGTTCAGGTCAGGGTCCAGGTCCAGGTTCAGGTCCAGGTCCGGCCCGAACCCATGGTGCCCTAAGCGGGCCTTTTCCCTCAAAGAAAACCTGCGTTTTTACCAGAAATCTGAGTTTTTTCTGCATAAATGTGAATGGTTAGACTTTATTTGTAGTCTTGAACCCACTTCTTCTGCAGCCCGAAGCCACAGATGAATGACTTGGCTCATCACAGAAGGAGAAATGATTGTGCAAAAAACGTAAAAGTGAACAGATTTAAAAAGACCAGATGGATGTTTGTGGATCATAATTCACCGGCCACAAAGACAATGTCCCCCAAAGTCATGATTTTTATTAGGAATGTAAGAAAAAATCATAGAAAAGAATTATCTAAACTTTTAGAAAGTTACCTAGTTTTTTCTTAAATAAGAAATGTACAAAATAAACTTTTAAAATAAGAATTATACTAAAAACATTAAAAGAAAAACAAAATAAATGTGCAAAAACTTGAACTGGAGTTGATTCACCAGAAAAACCTAGTTTATCTGAGAGCTTTGGAGGACCTTCCTGAGATGTTCCAGCTCTGTTTTGGGCCCGTAAAGAGCACGTGGAGCAGATCCAGAGCAAAGGCTGTGCAGTCTGGGTCACAGTAGGTTCAGGCAGCCTCTGAAGGCCGTCGGTACGAGGCCTGAACTCTGAGAGCTGACAGATAAGCTGATCCTCAGCAGGAAGAGACCCAAAGGTCAGGGAAACGGGGCCAGAGCCAGGAGAGACTACAAAGTCCTCTAATTAGACCCACAATGTGAACGCTTTACCCCCCAGAGGTAAACATCTGAGCCTCTGATCCAAACAGGAGTCCAGAGAACTCAGAGTCCTGCTGGTTTGCTTCCAGATTGAGGCTTCATTTCCTTGAAATCAGCTCTGTTCCAGCATCCAGAAATTAAGGAAACTTTGTGCTGATGTGCTGAAACCAGTCGACTGAATCAGAATATCTTAAATTTAAACTTTGAATTCCTGCGTTTTCCCTCGAAAACCAGCTCTGATTTCCACAAAATGAGCTCTGTTCCAGCAGATATTACAGACAGAAGTGGAAACATGAGTTCAGGAGCTCCACATTTGGGGGTTAAAGCGTTTTCTGTGGGTCTGATGGCGTCCTGAACCGGTCTGGAGTCAGAACCTGACCCCCCCTCTCTCCTCAGGCTGGTATGTGGTCTGGCAGCTCTTCCTGTCCAAGTTCAAGTTCCTGCGTGAGTTGGTGGGCGACGCCGGCACGCCACAGGCCGACGCCCCTCCGGCGCCACCGCAAAGCGAGCGTCCCGCCGGCGCCACGCGGGGCCGAAGCCGCGCCGCTCGCCACCGGCCGGACGCCGCCTCCTAGCCGCCATGTTGCGAGCCGTGGCCGCACTCGGACTCCCGCCGCTGTGAGACGGAAGGCCTCCTCGCTCTGCGTTCAGGCGCCTCCAGGAGGAACCGGACTGAAGCCACTTCCTGGACCAGACTGTCAGAGGAGGCCCGACCCCCGAAAACCGGGCCTGGGACCTTAATCCGGGCCTCCTGTGGCCCTGAGGCGGGTCGGTCACATGACCTGTGAGGCAGCCTGTGGTTGGTCAGAGCTGTTTCTCACCAGCGATGTTTAGTTTCCTCTGCGGAGCTTTAATTCAAATAAAAATGCCATCAAATACTCTGAGTCTCTGTTTTTAGGAGGTGTCCCTGACCTCTGACCTCTGAGCTTTATGTCCACGCTGGGGCTCAGTGGACAAGAAGAAGCCAAAGGGCAGCACCAGGACGTTTATTAATGTATTAAAAAAAATTTTTTTACTTTAAGTTATTGAAATCATGTATTTGTTTGAATTATTTAATTTATTTACAATATTTAAATAATTGTATTTAACGATTTAATTTAATTTATGTAATTTAATAAACAGCAACAGGAATTTTATTTATGTATTTAAATTATTTCAGTTATTTAAAATATTTAATTTAATTGAATGATTTAATTATTAATTGAATAATTATTTGAAATGATTTGTTTTTCAATTAAATCAAATTAGATTTGATTTTAAAAAGTGCCAAAATCACCATGAATTTCTTTGACCCCTTTAAAATCCATTCAGAACAGAGTCTGAGTGGCATCGGGGGTCTTTCCTCTGCTGGGTCTCTGGTCTGAGAGCCTCTTTAAGGCCCACAAAAGCCCACATGAGTCTGTCGTCTTTCTACTGGATGGAACCATCTTAACCCGGAGTGAAATAGACACTAATGGAAGAAAACAAGACACGTCCCGTCCTCCTCCAACTTTATTCACAGATGACAAATCAGATCACAAAAAGGCTCAAAGGCAAAGACATCCAGTCTCCAGAGGGGCCAGAAGTAGTGACGGCGAGATGAAGTGTTCCATCCAATTGGTTGACTTGTGCGTTGAAGCTTCAATGTTCTTCGTTTGATCTAATATGCCATCAAGTGGACAACAAATGTAAAACGTGCCTGTAAGATAGTGTGGTCTAGGGTCTTCAAAGTGAGCGAAACAAACTGCATAAATCACCAGGTTCCAGCGTTTTCTGAAGAAATGTATTTTATTTTCCTCCTCTGACATCCATCTTCTCTCTCCCCCAGCCTCCACAAACACTTTTTTTTAAAGCCAATTGGCAACACAGTTGCACATAAGTGGGCCAAGCCACAATCAAACAGGTAAAAACTAAACAAAGACAAAGTCTAAACAGAAACAAGAATAATATTAATCTAATTTACAAACTCAACTTAATGAAATAATGTACAAAATAAACCCTGCCAAACCAGATAACTCAAAAGTTACTTTAAAGAAAAACAAACAAAGCAATACCAGAAAACCCTCTAATTGGTAGATCCCAGCAAGGTAATCAGTGACATCATTCAGCCATTCAACAGGAGACACTCCTGACCTGCTGCAAAGCTACAAGGGAGAATGGTAAGTAAAAAGAAACACAAATACCAAGAATACACAAGTTCAACCAATAATTCGAAAGTGATAGCTTTAAACTAAACAAATAAATAGATGGAAACTGCAACACAATATCAACACAAACAAACCCGGGATAGTAAATGAAGCAAGGTTGCACTAATGTTTAAATCTAAGCATTATAACCCATTACAAAAATAAATGTATCAAAATAATAATAAGGGACAAATGGTGAACTGAACCACTTTGTCACAGTGCCGTGTGATTAAAATGACACTGGCTTTGGTGTCTGGAGCATTGAATGAATTCATCAATGATGTTTGTGATGCTGCCATCCAAGGTGAAGCCCCCCCCCCTCCATTGGCTACTGGGATAGGCTCCAGTCCCCCCGCAACCCCATTAGGGAACAAGCGGTTAGACTGCTAACAAACTCGCAATTAAGTCCCAAGTCCACAAAACGTGAGGGGGGATCCATTGCATTTTGCTGGCCCTTACTTTTCAAATAGACCCCCAAACCGCAAACCACTTCCTGAATCAGTCACATGGTACGGTTGGCTCACCAGGCTTCAAACGTCAGCCTCCATACACGCTTCACAGGAACCATCCTGGATTTCTCGGCACGCTTCGAAGGCTCGACACGGAGGGACACATTGCTAGCCAGAAGAGAGGCCCAGTGGGAGGGAGGCCGGCTGTGCTGAAGGAGGACCGGAGCTGATGCCTCTCATCCATCTCACACAGGAGTCTCTGCCACAGCAGGAGGCTCGGGGGGGTCCGACATGAGCGGTATTACCACCTGTGGAACAGCTGCTGGTTCTGGGGGAGGCGGATGTCTCCCACCAGCCAGCCTCATATAACGAAGTGCACCAACACATAAAATGGCAAGTAAAAAAATGGGAAGCAGAAACAGAGCAGGGCGCTGTCTAACCGAGGTTCCTCCATCCTTATCTCTTCCATCCTCATCTCCTCCATCCTTATCTCTTCCATCCTCATCTCCTCCATCCTCATCTCCTCCATCATCATCTCCTCCATCATCATCTCGTCCATCCTCGTCTCCTCCATCCTTGCTCCCTGCAGGTGAGAAACAGGTGAGGTTTAACAACAGAATCCCCCTGTTGTAGTCATTTAAACCGGCTGCTCTCTGATCCACAGACTGACTCTCTCACCTGAAGCTACTTCCAGATGGAGGGTGCAGATGAGTTCCATGTTGTTCGTCCCTTGGTCCACTTCTCTCTGCATGACTCTACACTCGTATGTTCCCGTATCATTAATCGTCACATTCTTCAGAATCAGAGACACGTCTCCATCCTTCATCTGACTGTCCAGCAGATCCACCCGGTTCTTAAAGGATGGATGCTGGTATTTTGACTCAAAGAGACCTTCTCTGAAGAAAAGAACATGATCTGGATCCAGATCAGTTCTGCTCCATTCTAAAACTGCTATCTTTTTCTCATTTCCATCTTGACATTTTAGGGTTACATCTTCACCAGGTTGTGCTGTGATGTTCTGGTCTGCAGAGGAAACAACACAGAGTGTAGAGGTGTAAGAGGTCAGAGTTAACCCCCCCACACACAAACACACACACCCTGAACTGGACCCTGAGCTGGTTTCAGAGGGAGCATTACAAAGCTGGGCCCAAGTAAGAAACTGCTGAAAAACAGAGGAGATCCGTTTCCTGCTCGGCTAACAGTCAGCTATAAACACGTGGAGCCACGTGGAGCCTCGGTTAGCTGCAGTTAGCCTCGGCTCAAAGACCTAAAACAGACTCATCCACATTTTGCAGATCTAAAACAATCTTTGTGGGAGCTGGTTGTTTATTTAAAACCTGTTTTCTCTTCATTTATCAGACCAAATGAATTTTAGCCTAATGGCTAACGCTTACCTGCTTCCGCAGACACTAGGCCACCGGCTATTGCCAAGCCGACGGCGAGATAACGCCACAGCCGGGACATCGAAACAAGATGGCCTAAGATATCTAAATTTAAATGTCTATTTTCAAAACAATTCTTTGAAAATTTGGTTGTGCCAAAGTTGCCGCACACGTTCTTTCTTCAAAAAACCGTAAGACTGGCCTCTCGTGACAAAGACGTATCACGGCGGAAATGCGTCGGTACGTACTGGAAACTACGTCAGATCACGTTTCACGTTTTTTGTAGTTTAGTTTATTCTTCCAAAAACGTCTTTTACAGGTAGTTTCACATCAGACACAAAAGTCGTCACCATCCAATTAAGTCTGAAGTGTCATAATATTAAATTCAACCTCAGATGCATTCAGACAGACAAAAACCACCAATAACTGCAGTCAGTTTGGTTTTCAACTGCGAGAAATCTCTTTTAATACAGAAATCAGGCTGTTTCTGGTCCAAAAGAAGCAGTTCTCTCGCGAACTTTAATCTTTTCCCAACAATCCTCCACTTTCCTTGTCCACTCTCACTTGAAAACCTTCAATAAAATAAAAACCTAAACCTGTCTGTAAATGCCGAACCATTAAAATTGTCTCTGTGAGCAGGAATATAAATAATAAGGACCATAATCAGACTTACCTTTGCTCAGACCATGGACAGACTGTGACAGACTGACTGACCACACCCAACCTGGAAACTAAATAGAAGGTATCCTGGAAACTAAGAAACTAACCCTCTTAGTAAAATACACCTCATATGCAAAGTAGTGTTGTGAGGATCTTTATCTGTGTCACATCTACAGATATCTGCATGGGCTGTTTGTTCTTTCAGCTCCTTCCTTATCCACCTCTAACCCTCTGGACTTTCTCCCCGACATTTATTCCCAGACTGATACATCGGTTGGATTAGTTGCATCTCCACCAGAGGATGCTCCCACATGGGGCCCTGGGAGTCGAACCTCTGGCCTTTCAAAGGCAGCGACTGCTTCTCTCTTGAGACGCAGCTGCCCAGAAATTGGTGACCAAAAGTCATAGAAATGATTTAATTTGAAAGAAGAAAACACATCTGAGTCTCTCCATAACACAACAGTTACAAGTTCATCTGATTTCAGGTTAGAAGATTCATAGCTGAGGAACAGGACTTCCCCTTGTCCCATTGGTGGAAAAAGCTCCACATCAACCAATCAGAAAATTATCTGGTAAACGGGAATTTGGTTGCCGAGAAGAAGGGAAAAGATCTGGGATTAGATGGGTGGAGATCTGAAGGCTTTAGTGTGTTCACAGGGTTTTAAATGTTTGAAGTCTGTTTGAAATGTGTTTAATATTTATGTAGTGTTTGAAGTGTGTATTAGTGTATTTAGAGTGTTTTTAGTGTGTCTATGAAGTGTGTTTAATTTTTATTAAGTGTGTTTTTGACATTTTTTTGTGTGTTTTTACTGTGTTTAAAGTATGTTTCGAATCTTTGAAGTTTGTTTATTTTTCATTAAGTGTGTTTTTGTGTGCCTTCTTGTTACTTTCAGAGTCTTTTTAGTGTCTTTAGTCTGAAGTTTGTTTGAAGTGTGTTTAGCATGTTTTTAATGTGTTTGTGCATTTAGTGCCTTAATTTAAATGTTAATTAAACTCATAGCATCTAGCTTTCCATATCTTTTATTATGTAATTGTAATGTTCATACATTTAATCTCTTATTGTTGTTTATCGGTGTTTTCTTGCATTAGATTAAGTATTCACATTTTCTTTGTTTTTAAATGTATTTAATTTGTATTTATTTCCATTTATATAATTTCTCTGTTCAAAATTGATCACATTTTCTCGTCTTTTCCTATTTTCCATGTTTATTTATGAAGTTGCACGTGAATCAGTGGCACGGTGAAGACAAACTACCAGCATGACGTGGTTCCTCTCACCAATCACATTCCGCCATACTGCCTCTCTCAGCCAATAGGAAGCAGCTGCCCTCTCCCCGTGGTGCGTTCAGGGCCGTTGCCGTCGGAAGCGCTCTGAACATGAGCGATGTTATGTGTTTTCCGCGGTTCCCAGATTATTGAAGGCCGCCACGATGAGCAGCGTCTGTAGAGAAATCATCACGCTGCAGCTTGGACATTATTCCAACTTCGTGGGGACCCACTGGTGGAATTTACAGGTGAAGAAGTCACGGCGGCTAACGCTAAACTAGCTAGCCGTGGTTAGCTTCGCATGTTGTGTGTAGCCCATCCGCCGTGTGACACGTTGGGGGTTTGTTGTGATAAAGGAGCCAGACTAAAGTTATTTACAACTTTAAATGAGTTAAACTGAGATTAACTCCTGGTTATACGCATCTGAAGAGCTCCAACCGGACAGGGGACGGAGGATGCTGCATTAAATGTCACTTGTCAGCATCTTCTCACCGAAACGAGTCTCCACATTTAGCCTCCCGTCTTTTAGAAACCTCTGATTTACTTTGGGACAGTTATCTCCAGATTCCAGCGACTTTAATGTCGTATTTGTTTGTTTATTCCTGGTCTGAGATGTTTCTTTACTGAATTTCCGTCCACATATTTTCATATAATTTGGTTCTGGACTGACTTCATGAACCTGAGCACACATGAGAGGGGCGTATAATGGGTTTTACCACCAAATACGAGCTAGATGTCCCGTTTCTATGAGAGGAGCATCATCAGCTGAACGTAAACGCAAATGTTTCCATAAAGCCCAAAAACTACACAAAGGAGCAGCGACTCTTTATTAGGCCAAAGATTAAACAGGTGGACCTGCAGAACCGAGCTGGTTCAGCTACAGGTTCTGGTTCTGTTACAGGTTATGGTTCTGCAGTTAGCTGTTTCTGTTCTGGTTATGGTTCTGCTGTAAGATAGTTCTGCTCAGGTTCTGGTTCTTCTTTTGGCTGGTTCGACTACAGGTCCTGGTTCTGCTACAGGTTCTGCTGCTAACTAGTTCTTCTACAGGTTCTGGTTCTGCTGTTGGCTGGTTCTCGTATTAGCTGGTTCTGGTTATGCTGTTAGCTAGTTCTGCTGCAGGTTCTAGTTCTGCTGCAGGTTCTAGTTCTGTTGCAGGTTCTAGTTCTGCTGCAGGTTCTAGTTCTGTTGCAGGTTCTAGTTCTGCTGCAGGTTCTGCTGTTTGCTAGTTCTGTTCTGGTTCAGCTACAAGTTCTGCTGTTAGCTGGTTCTGTTCTGGTTATGGTTCAGCTGTAAGCTGGTTCTGCTACAGGTTCTGCTGTTAGCTAGTTCTGCTCAGATTCTGGTTCTGCTTTTAGCTAGTTCTGCTGCAGGTTCTGGTTCTGTTGCAGGTACTGCTACAGATTCTGGTTCTGTTCTGGTTATGGTTCAGCTGTAAGCTGGTTCTGCTACAGGTTTTGCTGTTAGCTAGTTCTACTATAGGTTCTGGTTCTGCTGTTAGCCGGTTCTGCTGCTAGCATGTTCTGGTTCCGAGCGGCGTCCCGGTTCCGGCTGACCCGCTGGCCCTCCTCCTGTGCAGGATGCGTCCCTGTCCTACGACCCGGACTCTCCTCCGGCGGAGATCCAGAGCGACGCGGTGTTCCGCGAGGGCCAGACCCCGGCCGGTCACGTGACCTACACGCCGCGGCTCATCGCCATGGACCTCAAAGGTAGTCACGTGGTTCGGGTGTGCGCGTGGATTTGGCTTCTGAGCGCGCTCTCTGTGCAGGGAGCCTGCGGACGCTGCGCCAGGAGGGAAGTCTGTACGGCCACGGCCAAGGAGGAGCCCCCACATGGTGAGACCCCCCCCCTGGGACCGGGGACCTGCAGGACTCCAGAGACCAGAAGGACTCCAAAGACCAGCTGGACTCCGGTCTGGTCCACAGACCAGCAGGACTTTGGAGACCAGCAGGACTCTGGTCTGGTCCAGAGACCAGCATGACTTTGGAGACCTGCATGACTCCGGTCTGGTCCAGAGACCAGTAGGACTTTGGTCTGGTTCGGAGACCTGCAGGACTCCGGAGACCAGCAGGAATCCGGTCTGGTTCAGAGCTCTGCAGGGCTCCAGAGACCATCAGGACTCCAGAGACCTGCTGGACTTTGGAGACCCGCAGGACTCCGGTCTGGTTCGGAGACCAGCAGGACTCCGGTCTGGTCCAGATCCCTGCAGGACTTTGGAGACCAGCAGAACTCTGGTCTGGTCGAGAGCCCTGCAGGACTCTGATCTGCTCCAGAGACCAGTTGGACTCTGGTCCGGTCGGTCTGACCCGGTCCGTTTCAGGTCTGGGAGCCTCATGATGCACCAGGAGAGCCCTCCAGAGAAGAACCTCTTCCTGGAGGACCTGGACCTGCTGGATGTGAGTACCCAGTGGAACCGGGTCAAACTGGGTCGAACCGGGTCGCATCACCTGCTTCTCTCTGTCCAGAACGGGGAGATCCTGCCAGAACCGGCCCTCCCCGACCCGGCAAGGAACCCTTCCCCGAAGCGGTTCTGCAGTGACCCGCTGGACCCGGACCTGGTGGACCCGGTTGGCGCCCGCCTGGCCCGGGTCCAGAAGGGGTACCGCTTAGAGTCCAGCGTCAGGGTCTGGTCCGACTTCCTGCGGATCCACCTGCACCCCCGCAGCATCGCCGTCATCCACCAGTACAACCACGACGGGTGAGGAACCTCCAGAACCAGAACCACCAGGACTAGAACCTCCAGAACCACCAGGACCAGAACCTCCAGAACCACCAGGACCAGAACCTCCAGAACCACCAGGACCAGAACCTCCAGAACTAGAACCACCAGGACCAGAACCACCAGGACCAGGACCACCTGGACCCTCTGGACTGAGCCGGGCCTGCGCAAAGGGGCTTCAGAACCACTTTGCTGTCCCCTCGACCCCCAGAAAAATGGCCGTCCCTCCTGGTTCTGGTTCTGAAGGAGTTTGGACCCCAGATAGGTTTCTATGGATGTTTTATTGGATCAGAACCAGTTGGTTTCAGTAAATTGGACTCAAACGTTAACAATTTATTAATAATTCATAAATCAATAATACAATTTTTAATATAAAAAATAAATAGTTAAATCAATAATACAGTTTTTTTATAATGAAAGATAAATAATATAATAATCACACTTTTAATAATTAGATAAAAAATAATTTATTAATAATCACATTTTTAACAATAAAAAAAATAATCCAAAACACTGAAACAGGTCTGTTCTGGCCGGTTCTGAATCCTGGTGGTTCTGGGTTCTGGTCAACGGGCCTCTTTATGACTCATCCAGTGGCATCACGCTCGGCCAATCAGAGGCCTGCGCTGCCTTCCCGGCTCCAATCAGCTGCTTAGTTGTGGTTAAAACGGCCCGGTGCCGCTGCCCGGTCCAGAACCGGGCGGTATCGGGCCGGTGAACCGGGCCTGAGCAGCAGTGTGTTGCAGGGAGGCGGACCGGCTGGAGGCCTTTGGGCAGGGCGAGGCCGTCCTGCAGGGGGCGCTGCTGGAGGAGCTGGAGGACCGGCTGCACTTCTTCGTGGAGGAGTGTGACTACCTGCAGGTAGGTCTGCCGGGCCCAAACCACCCGGTACCGCCCGACCCGGTAGGGCCCAAACGACCCGGTAGGTCCCAACCTGATAGGGCCCAAACAACCTGGTACCACCCGACCCAGTAGGGCTCAGACGACCCGGTAGGGCCCAAACCAACCCGGTAGGACCCAGATGAACCGGTACCGCCCGAACCTGTAGGACCAGAACGACGCAGTAGGGCCCAAACTGACCCGACCCGGTACTTCCCGGTCCAACCCGACCTGACCTGAACTGACCCGGTAAGGCCTGACCCGGTCGAACCTGGCCTTACCCGGTCCAGAACCCCCCCAAAGGTCCCAATCCCCCCTCAAAGTTCCAGACCCGGTCCGACCTGATTCCGATCCAGTCGAACCCGGTACGGCCAGACCAGATTCAATCCAACCCGACCTGGCTTTACCCGAAGGTCCAGAACCCCCCAAACCTTCCTGACCCGACCCAACCGGACCCGACTTGGCCCGACCCGGCCCGGCCTGATCCAGTCTAACCCGGTCCAGTACAACTTAGCCCAAATCGGTCCAACCCGACCCGGCTTTACCCAAAGGTCCAGAACCCCCCAAACCTTCCTGACCCGACCCTAAGGCCCCGACCCGGCCCGGCTCCCCTGAGGCTGTGTTCTCTCCTCCAGGGGTTCCAGGTTCTGGTGGACCTGTCTGACGGTTTCTCGGGTCTGGGCTCCAGACTCACCGAGCTGCTGCAGGACTCCTACGGGGGGCGGGGCCTCCTGACCTGGGGGCTGGCGCCGGCCGGCCGCCCCCCCGCGGTGAGTCCCGGTTCTGCCGGTTCTGCTGGTTCTGCCGGGCCTCTGATGGTGTCTCTGCCCCCAGAACCCGCTGATGGCGGCGTACGGCCTGCTGAACGGCGCCCTGGGCGCGCTGCACATGTCCGGCCACAGCACCATGTTCTGCCCGCTCACGCTGGGAGGCGGGCTGGGCCGGGTCGGGTCGAGGTGGGCCGGGTCGGGCCGGACCGGCCCGGACTTCCCTCTGCTCCGCTACGATGTGAGTATCCTGCTGCTCTGCCACCCGTCCAGAACCCCCCAAGAGATCTAGAGCCCCCACAGAGGTCAAGAACCCCCTAAAAGTCCAGAAATCAGAGGTCCAGATTCCCCCAAGAGGTCCAAAAACCCCCCATTGGTCCAAAAACCCCAAGGACGTCCAGAACCCCCCTAAAAGTCCAGAACCAAATGGTCCACAACCCCTCAAGAGTTCCAGAGTACCCCAAAAAGTCCACAACCCCCCCAAAAGTCCAGAACCCAAAGGTCCAGGACCCCCCCAAGAGTTACAAAGTCCCCCAAAAAGTCCGGAATCCCCCAAAAAGTCCAGAACCCAGAGGTCCAGATTCCCCCAAGAGGTCCAGAACTGCCCCAAAAGTCCAGAACCCCCCAAAAAGTCCAAAACCAAAAGATCCAGAACCCCCCCAAAGGATCAGAACTTCCCCAAGTGGTCCAGAAA